CCTTCGCACTAAACGACGTGAATCCACAACAAGGAGCCGCGCGTAGCTCGTTTTTGAGGCTTCTCCAGCGCAGGCAAAAAATGCTCCGGCTTTTGACCGGCTCCCCATGCGAAGCCCTTTTCAAAACAAGCATGTGGCACAGCTCCTGCAGAAGCCGGAGCTGAAGCCCCTGCAGGAACCTGCCAAAGAGGCTCTCAGTATGCGTCATACCCTGCAAAGAAATCAGAGAACTCCCAATGGCGTGGCGGCATGGCAGCATGGAGAGGGGCCGGCGATGAGACTAAACACGACCACGGGAGATTGGAAGAAAAGGAGTCGATTTTCTTTTTGCTGCTATATACATATGAGAGTGGGAGACAACAGGAAGAGGGAGTTCAGCAGTCTCAGACTTTTCATTTGCTTGTTCCGGATTTGACGTGATGGCTAGGCTGGCATGACCTGAGTATACGAATCGTTTGTTTGGGGTTCTCGGTGAAATTGATGTGGGGAGAGGAGATGAGGGGGCATTTGATGACGTGGAACTTATAAGAGTTATAGATTACAATACAAGAGCTCTAGTCCGAATAAACATACACATGTACTAGATTTATAAAAAAACAAGATAAAGGATCATGTAGCGTCACTTATAGATATAGCATGGGCTCCACTGAAGCCTTGTCAGTTTTTACACCCAAAGATGAGGTTGGTGACGTTTCAATGTCTCGGGCGTCGTTTCTGCATGATGCACCTCCATGAGCTTATTATGTGCATTATAAATCCCTACCAACCATACAATGCAAGCTGTATATTAATTATTTGTTAGGCCTTTAGTGCGGGCTAATCGGAGGGTGTCGTACCACTAGCTAATCGATCTGTCAATGATGTGGACTGGCCCTATATATGCTACAATATCTTGGTATATATACATCTATTCAAATTTACATTCCCTCGGTGTACTCTTTTGTCTCTGAATAAATAGATTACTAGAATTGTCTTGAGCCAAACTTTTTAAGCTTTGATCGAATTTTTAGAAAAAACGGTTAAGGATATCAAATTAGTACCATTGGATTGACCATCGAATATATTTTCATAAAACGTTCATTTTATGTTATATATGGTTTTACTCTTTTTTATAAAGTCAGTCAAACTTTCATAAATTCTAGAAATTGATTTATTCGGAGACGGAGAGAGTACGTCTGTAAATCTTAACTATACGAGAATGGCAATGCTAAGGTACCCTATTTACTTGCCATAGGAGGTAAAATTTTAAAGAAATCATAGCCGTTAATTTTTACATAAGCTAAAACAATTAAATAATCTAAATAAAGAAACTCCTAGATCTCAGCATCACTCATGCTAATAAATATTTTTTGTCTTCTCCTTCCTTGTTTGCACTAACATGATCAGGTAAATTAAATCCCATCCTTGTTTGTCGCATGACAAGCGTACATAGGACCTCGTGGATAAATAATTTTGCACCGGTTTGTATAGGACCACGGCTCTTGGAAATAATGATAGCCCTTCGGCGTCCTGGACGAGGACAGCTAAATCGTCAGACGAGTACACATAAAAAATTGAAAAATGCCTTGTTTAAATCTAGTTGTAAAATTTTAGCCTACCATATCGGGTGTTATATGAGGATGTCGTATGGGGTGTTCAGATAATAATAAAAAAGTAAATTACAAAATCCATCAGGAATCCGCGAGACGAATTTATTAAGCATAATTAATCCGTAATTAGCACATGTGTTACTGTAAACACCACATTATCAAATCATGGACTAATTATGCTTAAAAGATTTATCTCACAAATTAATCATAAACTATATAATTAGTTATTTTTTAGTTTATATTTAATACTCTATGTATATGTTAAATTTTCGATGAGATTTGGAGCAAGGAGGAAGCCAAAATGTTCCCGGCGCTATAGCTTACCGGAGTGGGTCATTCGGATAGACACAGTAGTTTTCAATGTAACTGTGCGAGCTAGGCGAGTACCAAGCGCTAGTAAGCTGTTTTTTTACGTTCTCTCTCCGCCACGTCGCCAAATAACTAGCTAGGAAAACACAGTTAGGGACGCCCTTAGTTTGGATAGATCTAATGGTTTAAAAATAGGAGAAAACAAACTTAAGACATGAGTCGAAAACAAAAAAAACGTGAGCTAGAAACTAGTTTGTGATTAAAAGCTCGTTTAAATTTAGGGCGTAAAGTTTAAAGGTATCACATTGGGTGTTACATGGGGTGTTCGGATACTAACAAAAAAAACAAATTACAGAATCCGTCAATAATCCACAAGACAAATTTATTAAGCCTAATTAATCCGTCGTTAGCACATGTGTACTGTAGCACCACTTGTCAAATGAATGACTAATTAGGCTTAAAAGATCCGTCTCGCAAATTAGTCGTAAACTGTACAATTAATTATTTTTTTAGTCTATATTTAATATTACATACATGCATCAAACATTCGATGGGACAGGGAGTAGACTTTAGGAGAGAAACTAAACAAAGCCTAAATTAAAAGGGTATAATAGTACTTTTAGATGGATTTAGGGTCAGTGCAGCCCAAAAAGTCAAGAATCACTCTGGTGGCCGCCCGTGCTTTTTCTACGGCTGTGGCAAAACGCCATGGCTGGATCTTGAGTGGACTTGATTCTCCTCATGTCAATCCCCTCACACCGGCCAGCGACATGTGCCTATGTTTCTCTGTGTGCTAGTGAGTGCGTGTGGTGCGGATGGCAGCAGGGTGCCGGTGATGTGAAGGTAGAAGCCACCGGCGGCAACCTGACGGTGATACGTGGGACATGGGTGGGAGTGCGGAGTGGCCTGCTGCTCCAGTAGCCTGACGAGTGGCGATGAGGGCGGCGGCGACCTTAGGGAGGCGAATGGCGGCGCACCAACGTAGTCCGGCCGCCGGCGGGGCGGGTGGCGACGCAGGGAATTGAAGCAGCGAGACCGGCTGACAGCAGCGAGATCTCGTGACTCGAAGAGATCGGCATCCCGTTCCTGATGTGAAATTAGGTTTGAGAGTTAGCGATCGTGTAAAGAATAAGAAAAGTACTAAACTACCCTTAAAGATAATTAAGCACAGTAACAAATCTCATAGTACTGAGCTAATTTCATTCTTACTCCTGAAGTCAGTGATCAAAACTGTGAAGAACTACACCCGTTACACCTTTCGTTAGAAACAAACATCACTCATATGATAGGGTTCTATGTATTTTATTTTTCTAAAGTTTGTCATTCATGGCCCTATTTGGTTCCAGGGACTAGAGATTAGAGACTAAAACATAGACTAAAAGAGGAACTAATAATTTGTTTGGTTTCAGAGACTAAAAGGACTAAAGGACATTAAAGTTGTTGAACAAAGACCAAAACACCCCTGACTTTAGCCCCATCGCTGTGCTTCTGCTCATCCCACTCATGGCCGTGCCCACGTCGGACATGCTCGCATCTAGCCCCGACCCGGCCGCAGCTCATGCCCGCCGCCGTAGCTTGCCAAGGCAGGTCACGCTCACCGGCCGCGGCTAGCCGCACTTCGCCGGATCTGGTAGCCCAAAGACCGCCGCTGTACATAGGGGGGCAGGCCCACCTGATTTGGGAGAGGTAGGCCGCGCCACTAGGGACGAGCGCCACCGGGGAGGACTGGAGGGAGGAGGCCGCATCTGCTGGAGGTAGGGAGGTCGCCCGCGACAGCGCTCCGCAAATGGCGGAGCAGGTCACGTGCGACGGCCGGAGGGCTCGAGCGGCGCGCGGAGCTCGCCGAGGACGGCGCTGCACCGGCGAGCCGTTGCGTCCGGCAAGGCGGCACGACACCAACGGGGTGTGGGGTGGCGTGGCACCGGGGAGCCGTTCGCGGCCTAGGATGGTCCCGACGCAATGAAAGAGGAGAGAGAGGGGCATGTGATGTCAAGTTGATCCAGTAGTCCCAAAAAAACCTCCTCCAAGGGACTAGTGGATTAGAGAATAAAAGTCAGCTCTAGTAGTTCCTCCTATTTAGTTAAAAGGGACTAAAAGAGACTAAAAAGTAGTCAGTAGTCTAGTCCCATGGAACAAAACAGGCTCCATGTATATAATAGAGCAGTTATGTCCATGTTGTTTTTCAAAGTTATCACACCTTGGGTTAAAATATAATCATTCCGTATATCATGTCATTTTTTCAATAAGTGTTACAAACAAATCACGTTTGATTTTTTTTTACAAAAACAAACATGTTAGAGGAAAGAAACTTTAGATGTTATCCGCATGTCATGTTACATCAAGTAGGAAAGTTTGATTAAAAAAAAAAGAGTAGGAAAGTTTGATCATACGTGTATATTATATCTAATAAATTATATTTTTTCTATTTCTTCTATTACCCTCTAAGGAGGTAATATGTGCTAATCGATATCAAACAGATGGTCCATAGTTATTTAGGTGTACCATAGCCAAGCCCGTCGGAGAATATTTCGCTATATATAGAATAGGATGTCCCGTCCCATGCCGCTCGCTCTGATATAATTGCTCTTCTGTGAAGTAGAGAGAACAAATTAAAGGAAAAATCAATGGGTTCCGAGATACAAGTGGTAGAGCAGTCATTCGTGCGCCGAGCACCCCAACACCGAGGAATGGCCTGTGGGTCTCTTCCCTGGATCTCGCGAAAGCAAGAGGAGGCCACACGCCACTGGTCTACTTCTTCCGCCGCTCCAACGACGACGACGACTTCTTTGATCTGAGCAGGCTCAAGGAGTCTATGGCCAAGGCCTTGGTGGCCTTCTACCCCCTCGCTGGCCGCGCCGGCGTTGACGGCGATGGCCGGATACAGATCGACTGCAACACTTGGCCGTCGATGCCTCGGGCGATTTCCATTTCATGCAAACGTGGTCAGCCTTCTCCAGGGACGGTGATGGCGCTGCGGTGGAGCTCCCCTGCCACGACCGCACCCTCCTCCGCGCGAGGTCCCCTCCCATCGTCCACCCCGAAGCACTCTCGGTATTGTATAGCCCTGAGATGATAAAAAACACCTCGGAGCCATCCGGCGGAATGGCGGCCATCGCTGCCAGCATCTTCGTCATCTCTAACGACCAGCTCGCCTCCCTCAAGCGCGTCTGCGGCGGCACAAGCACATTCCGCGCCCTGAGCGCCCTCGTGTGGCAATGCGCTTGCGCCGCTTGGCGTCTGCCGCCGGACGCCGAAGCGCGCATATCCTTCTCGGTGAACGCCCGCCGCCGCGGCAGCATGATCCCAGTCCGCTACATGGGCAACGGCGCCCTCATGGTCTATGCGACGGGTGTGGCACGGGACATTGCCTCTGGGGCGTTGGAACACGTTGCCGGCCGCATCCGGACTGGTGCGGTCGGCGATCGACTACCATCATGAGCTACTGGAGAGCGGCTTTCAGCCAAAGATACCCTTCATGGGAGACGCGGAGATGCGGGTGGTGAGCTGGCTTGGCATGCCCATGTACGACGCGGATTTTGGATGGGGGAAGCCGATGAGGGTGTCTCGGGCAGAATCGGTCCACCGCGGGTACGTGCACCTCCTGACGGATGGGCCAGACGCAGATAGCGCCATCCGCGTCATGGCGTGCTTGGAGGCTGCACACATGAAGGAATTCGAGCGCTTAATTTCAGCAAAGCTCGAGGGAGGCCTTTATCATGCAAAGCTCTAGCCAACGAGCCGTTTTTCTTCTATGTAGTAAAATTCGATCCTCGAGTCCTGATAATCTATTGTTTTTATGTTATAATAAGCCTTGTAATTCTATCAATGAATGCATGGGATATCTCATAGTAGGAAGTGTCTATACAACACTCAGTTGTTTCCCCCTCTCCCAACACTTGATTTCGGGACTGTGGAAATCCTCACCCAACGGCTCACGTCACTTTCTTCCTCCTCCTGACGCGCCGCTGCCGTCCACTGCCCACCGCCCTGCCTTGGTGCAGTAGGGTCTATGGCGGGCTCCTTCTCCCCCACCCCCGTGCCGCCGTCATGGCCATGGGCACCCCCACCCCGACCTGGCCCGGTCGCCTCCTCCGCCACCAGGACCTAAAGCCGACCTGCCGCAGTACCCACCGCCTCGCCGCCCTGCCTCCCCACAGCCTTTTCTAAGCCCGCCGAAGTTGGGGAAAAAGGGAGTGGGGCGAGCATGAAGGAGAAGGAGGAGGCCGCGTCTCCTCGCCAACGCTAACCCGCCGCCGCGCGTTGAGAGAGAGAGAGAGAGATGCGGTTGTTGAGAAACCGAGTGTATAGTATTTGTATAAGAAAATGTTGTATACCCTGGTTACGTTCTGTCACCCTACTTTGGGGTAACTGATGCTACGTTAAAAACAATTACGTTCTATTTATATCGCGTTAGCTCCAGCTTATGGTAGGGTCTAAGACCAACCACCTCTTGCTAATACTGATCATGAGCAGCACAAGAAGGTAGCTTAAGTTTGTATCACCTCATACAGGGACGCATGTAAGCCGGATAATGGGTCCAAACCTGCCCCTAATCCGCATCTAGCTATACATGCATGGCAACGCAACCCTACCCAAAAATTAAGGTAATAAACCTGCCCGCCCCTTTGGCCCCATTTAGCTCTAGTGCCAACACACAATGGATACCCACGAGGTTTAAGCCCCATAGTCTTGCTCTTGAGTGAGCCCCACAAATGGTATAGCCATACCGCTTTGCACAAAGTAGCTTCCTATCATGCATACTAAGTCATCTCTAATAAATTTCAGTCAATTTCGCTAAAATTTTAAGGTGTGAATGCGACGTTTTAGTTCTAGGGTCGACTCTTGACGTGAGGGCCACATGTGGATCTAGCCACACCGGTTTGCACAAAGTAGCTTCCTGTCATACCGAATCATCACTTACAAATTCCAGATTTCGCTTAAATTTTAAGGTGTAAACGTGAGGTTTTTTAGTTTTAGGGTCTGGCACTTGACGTGGGGCCCACATGTGGATCTAGCCACACTGCTTCGCCCAAAGTAGCTTCTTGTTATACTGAATGATATTCAATAAATTTCAGTCAATTTCGGTCATGGTTTTTAAGTCGTCGCCTAGGCGTCCAGGCGCTCAAAAAACTAGGCGTCCTCGTCGCCACGACCAAAAATCAGAAAAATGAGAGAGAAGGGGAGGGAGAAGAGAGGAAGTACTGGAGGAGGACCGGGCAAGGCTAAGCACCCATCTCTGCTCCCATTCCCATTGGCTCTAGTTCTTGGGGCTCTAGAAGGGCCAGCAGCAGGGGATCTCGCATAGGGGATCTAGAAGGGGGGCGGCAACAGCAGTGGGGAAGGGGAGGGGAGATCTAGAAGGGGCGTGACTCGTGACACTACTAGAAATGTCCACTTCTATGACGAATAGATTTCATCACTGAACGAGCTAAATTCGTCATAATTTCAGTTTTATGACGAATTTATGATGAAAACCGGTTCATCATAGAAGTCGCGTCACTCTTGCACATCTATAACGAATCTGACAAAATCGTCATAGAAGTGCCTTGATTTGTGACAAAAAACAGATCGTCATAGGACTGTTTTGGCATGCGTGGCAGGGGGTTGCCACGCTGGTGGGCGCTTTCGTTGGAGATGCTTTCCACGTGTACATGCTATAGCCCACATGTACATGCTATAGCCGGTTGCATTGTAGATGGTTCGGGTATGTGTCACCTTCTTATTGCACAACGTGATCATCTCTGGTTCTTGCACGTTCCAGGTTCTTATTGGACCACGTGTCATTTCCCTGTTGTTCCACAGGTCAGTTTTCTACTGGCATATATGTCGTGTTACCGTTGGATTATGTGTCACTTCTTCATTGGACCACGTGTTGTTTTTTATTGATCCACGCCTCTGTTTCTTATTTGACCGTGCGTCACTATGCTATCCGTCCACGTGTCGTATTTTTATACGTCCACGTGGCTTGATGATATCCTTCCACGTGTTTAGATTTTTAATAGCCCACGTGTCATGCCCTGGCCAATTCAAGTGTCGTACACTGGTTCGTCCACGTGTCGCATTTTTATTTGATCATGTGGCCTGTCCTGGTTCTACCGCGTGGAGTACAAACAATTCGTCATAGAAACAATTGGAGATCGTCACTACTGCACAGACTGACTACATAACTATTTAGCCTGGCAATCAAATAATAACTATTTACATTTCACACATCAGCAGCGAACCACTAACAAAGTATCACCACATTAAACTAGCACATGAGTCCACACTTCAAACCGGTACATGAGTCCACACATCAAACCACAAATGTTAACTGTATCAAGCCACATGAGTTGAAGACTGAGAATTACCAGAAAAGCTGAAGCGCGTGCATAGCTCATGGAGATTGTTGTACTCCTCTTGTTGCCATTTCTTGTATTCCTCAAGCTCCCTTTTAGTCTTTTTTGTCTTCCTCTTCAGTTCATCCACTTGATCAACGAGGGCAGCGGAACTTTCTGGTTCAACACAAGCTGATTCCAAAGCATTCTCTCCGCCGATGTCTCTGTTCTGGTAAAGCTTGTCTAGATACTAGCATTCTTCAAAAAAAGATTGTTGTCACTTCCCTAGGAGGGGCCTTGCCCTGGTGGACGCAAAGGACCTTGCAAACAACATCAACACTAGTAATTGGTTGCTGCCCATCAGCAACAGGTTCTGCTTGCATAGTTTCTATAGCTTTCTACGAAATTCAATCAGTAAAACATTAGGTTACAGATAGTGTAAGAGCACTTCAATTGAAAACCCAAGAGATTGATTCATAACAAGTAATGCATAGGTCTTCCTCAGATTACTGCTGATAGGGATTACATAAGCTTTAGTAGATTTTAGTATATTTCCATAACACTAGGCTCCTGCTATGTTTCTTTCTTTTATGGTAATGGCTTCAGTAGATTTCAAGGAAAGCAAAAGAAGGTATTTACAACTGCTGCTCTTGCAGCATCTCTCAAGGCATTTTTCCTACTAGTATTAAAGTCCCTGAAGACTTCCACAGCATAAACATCTTCATCAGGTGGACCATTTTCTTCAAGTCCTTGATGTTGTTCTACTGCATTCCTCTTGTTCTCCTGTTCATATTGCACATGAGTTTTGGTTTATATTTATTCAAAGGCAAGAGTAACAATAAAACACAACCATCACTTATAAATTTTTGCATCTAGACAACATAGGAGCGAGATCTTATAGCCTGGTGGTACTTCACTTTTGCACAGTTTCGTTTATTCTTCTTAGATGTTTCCTATAGCTTCATTTGTGTTAGACTACAACACAAGTAGACCATAGCAAGACTAGATAGGAAATCGATGGGTTCACACGCCTTGTTCTCACTAAACCAAATCTTGACAAGTTCACACCACTGTGCAATGTTCACGGATGAGATAGGAGAGGTCATACGGATCTGATTAGCAGGGACGCCATTGAAGTATGTACTCTTCAACCAGTAGCATTCCTGCCGTATCACAGACTGCATTACATTCTGACAAGTTTTTTTTGTTGGTGAGTGAGCCGCGTTAACGCGTAGCCTTCCCTGCATACAGTAGTGTGAATGAAAAGTAAATCCGTTAAAGTTGCTCAAAGCAGAGTTGAATGTCAAGAGGGGATACCCATACATACATTTAGCCTTTCCACAAATCTTGTGCAATAGATGGCGTCGGGCTTCTCCCCTTTGTATTCTTTCCAATGCGTCAAAATTGGCACTTCCTTCCTGACTACTACACCTACCTAGGAGGCAAACTTGGCAGCTTGCATGTGGCAGAACCTCCTAAATTATAGGGCCCATATGCACCTGTCACTGTCCAACGACCTTTGACATTTATGCATATGTTACCGATAACTTAAGAAGACTGTCGGGTGTCCTCGGAGAACCCCGAATCATCCACGATTTCCGAGCAGGATCACATTACAGAGTCATTGCAGTATTACAACATTTATCCAAATATCAACACAGAGTAAATCAGCGGAAGTCTTACAATAACTTAGTTTACAAAACATTTATTTCAAACCTTACAAACTAAGTTCGATTATTATTACAAAACGTAGTAGTGGAGTGGCATTATAATATATACAAAACACACAAATATCTTTGCTTACGCCCAAGGGCCACACATTACTTATCAACATCGCCTTTGAACAACGGTCATGCAAAGACGATCCAAAAGCAGATCACGCTCATGAGCCTCACACTGCAACAAGGGTCAACAAACCACGATGCGAAAGTACTCAACAAGACTTAACGAAATAAAAGCGATAAGACTCGGGAATGCAGCTCGAGGATTCAAGGTATGGCTTTAGCAATAATCAAAGTTCTTTTGCTTAAAAGCACTTTAACAAAATTCTTTGTATCAATATTTAAAATCTCATCGGATCATAAACAAAGTGACACGATCCGTATTAAGATCATGAAACTT